AGAAGTAGAATTAGACAAAAACACCCGCAAATGGTGTTTATAAACTCATGAAGTGTGCGAAGGAAGAACTATTGTGCCAAAGCACATTTAAGTCACTTTTATATCGGAGTCGATTTCTGAAGGAACCGCGGGCCGGAACACGATGTAAGTTGATGATACCAGCCGCGGGCCGGACGTCAGATGGTCGCGGGCCGGATCCAACCGTCACGTCACCCTCCTGGCCGGATCCGGCCCGCGGGCCGTAAGCCGACCCCTGACCTAGAAGGCCTTAAAATCGGGTATTAACCCGCGCGGGGCTGGGGTCTCCAGCCGAACGCGCGGGGCTGCACACTGGTCGGAAACGCCCTCACGAGAGGCCACGGGCGATTCCGGAGTTTCGGATTTTTTTTTATGTAGATCGATTTGAAATTGATCAAATTATTATAATTAGGCCAAAAAAACTAATCCGGGTGACCAAAAATAACTGTAATCAGCCCCCGAAGATGGGGTATCCCAGAACTCGGAAACTGACGCGGAGCAAGAGGTTTCTTGAGCCGGATATTCAGAGTCTTATTGCTGATAGACACCAAATTGAAATCCCACATATTATGCATCAAAATGTTTGTTATGAAGTTTCCGACTGGTCAGTGCAAATTTTTTGGTATACTTTTTCCCCAACTACGATCTACTGTAGCTTTTTTATGAGGGCTCTCTTAGAGTGATTCTGGAATATAACTGCAAAGTTTAGGTAAGGAAACAACAGGTAGTCCCATCTAGTCCCACTCTGATTTTTTGTGAGATGAAGCAGGATTTAAATTTACACCAGGGTAACATAAAAGCTAACTGCGCATATTTGCGCAAAATTTGCAGGAGCCGCTATTCCTACCCAACTACCGCCCGCCCCGCCCCAGTTTCGGCTCGGCCGCCGCGCCCGGCTTACGCTGACCTGTGTGGCCTGCGGCCCTGCACGCATCCATGCGTAGTTGACTGGTCATTAAAAACAGACGCGCTTGAGTTTATGAATTTTGTGGAAAGCGCATACAATATGGTTTTATTATTGCATTTATGTATGTATTGACATCAAAAGCCTTCTACGTATTGCGTGGCGATTACGGCTTGCATTTAGAGAACCTTGCTATTAGTAACCATCACTCGGCTGAAGAAAGTGGAAATTGAGACCTTCGTGAATATAAGACGCTGCGAATATAGGACACCTGTCACTGGCGTCAGGTTACCTTGGGCCGTCTTTTTACATTAGATCACAATTCCGGTATTTAGCCCTGGCCGGACCGATTGGTTTTCTTTATTGACCGGGGAGGGTTGATACAACTCCCTCGCCGTTTCGCCTCTAATTGAGCTAGAGCCTCGCGGAAAAAACGAGCTTGTGTGCCGTTATAAGACGCAGCAAGTACTACCCGATTTAAGGTCTTAGGTCAGCCAGTGACCTCTTAGGTCAGGTAAGTGCCACAAGGCACGGGCTCGGTTTTTGGTTAATTACTTTGCCAAAAATGGTCGCACTGCCGCGATTTTGGCATCATCGTGCTTGTCTAGCTCAGGAGCGTCGAATGCTATACTTGGTGTTCGGGTGAAGTCAACTTAAGGCGTTAACCTCGGGTCAAGGTCAGGTCGGAGCCCCTCAGGTCACGAAAATGGTTGAAGGAGGACATATCGCATATCACTCGATTCGGCAGGTCTTCTCGAGTCCAATGGTGGCTTTCCCGACTCTCTAGCTCCATCTGATCAGGAGTTATTGACGAAAAACTTGTATGGCCTTACTGACGTCATAAATGACGTCACGCAAAGTCAACAATGCTAAATTGAAGCACCGGACCTTGCAAGGAGTGCATGAAACCATTCCCGGTGCCCGAATAGCAGCTTCCAATTTCCCTTGTTCACTTAAAGTGGTGCTAAATCCTGTATTATACTCAATTATGACGTCATAACTTAACAGATTCACGTCATATATTTAGTGCTTGACATCCAAATGATAGCTTACATATGACAGAGAAGGTATGCAAAGTTTTATGAAGTTTGCTTCACTAGTTGTGGAATAACAAGCAAAAAACTTTTGCGGAAAGGCCGCTGGCCTCTCGCTGGAGCGTTTCCGACCAGTGTGGGCTGGGGGGGGGTAAATTTTACCCCCCCTGTTATCTCCCGAACTAATGGTCCGATTTGGAAAATTCAAACGCCAATCGAAAGCTCTCATCACGAACTACTAAAAACATGTACTTAATTTTAAGTTTGAGGTCAAGGTCAAGGTCAGGTCAAGGGTACAAATTGCAAGTTCCTACAGTATCGGCCTTGCACCGTAGTTGCCGAAGAATGGAGTCATGGACTGAGACTGATCACCCAAAACGTGTTCTTAGGCTACCAAGACAATATTCGTTGCATACAATATCATTCAGAGGTCAAGGTCAAGGTCAGGTCAGGTCAGGTCAGGTCACCAAAAAACAAAATATAGAAAAGGGCATGTGCGACACTTGTTTTATGGGTCGTTTTACTCATAGAATTCAATAGGCACACTCAATAAGTGATATGGGCCACCTCTGGATGAATTTCAGGTCGAGGTCAGGTCAAGGTCAGGTCAAGTGAGGTCAAATTTTGAAGTTGGTTGTTAAGGCCTAAAAAGGTGTCTATCTGATGCAGTTTTTCACGGCGAATCGAATGGTGCTATTTTTGTTTCCGTACGAGATCTAGAACTTCCAAAAAAGTCATTTTTCAAAAAAATTGTGTGTCGTGACGTCATAAAATTTTGAATAACTCCCACATTTTTGAACCGATTCTTCTAAAATTTGGTATGTAGGTGCACATAGACCACTTCTCTGACATATATTCCGGTTTTTTCGTTAGACTCAAAATTTTGGATTTTATAATGATTTTCCCAAAAAGGTCAGTTTTTTGAAAAAATTTAGGCCAAAATCCAAAATTTTCAAAAACCGAGATAGCCATTTGATAGACAAAGTAGAATTACGTATAACCTTTTTTGTTACGTCTTGATTCCTTTAAAAATGAAGATGTTAGCGGCGTTTGAACTTTTGCCGTTTTTGAGGCGAAAATGGCGAACATGACGTCACTAAAACGTCAATTTCTCAAAAATTTTCCGACGGATTTCGCTCAAATTTTCAGGGAAGGTGTCAAATTGATGTAAGAAAAGGTACTGAAAGCCGCCGTTTTTGAGATATCGCAAAAATTCGCGAGGGGGGGTAAAATTTACCCCCCCCCCCAGCCCCGCGCGGGTTAATCTCTGCGTCTCGTAACGGCGCACACGCTCGTTTTTTTCCGCGACGCGCTAGCTCCACCAGTGGCGAAACGGCGATGGGGGGGGAAGGGGGGGGGGTCGTGCCCGCCCCCCCCCTCGGCCGGCGTATATGTAGAAAACAAATAGGTCCGGCGAGCAGTAGCGGCGGAACACATTCAATTAGGGGGGGGGGGGCTTGGCACTGCCGACTTTTAGTCCCATTCTTTCCATGCAACGCCCATAGGGCTACTGTTAAAAGGCCAAATTAAAGAGGGGAACGGTGCCCCGGTGCCCTCCCCGTTCCGCCGCCTATGCCGGCGAGGGTACAAGAGATTGTATTGTCATTCATCGACCGCGAAAAAAGAATGTCCGGGGCCCTGTTCGCTCGCTGTTTTTATATCAGCGTGCTGTCGGTTTTCACCATATAAGGAAGTTATTGCTGGCGCGGCTTGGCCTTTCATTGGTCTAACGAATAGACCACTTGAATTCGACCAATGAGGAGCCAAGAAGTAGCAGCATGGTCGCAGCCGGCTGATAGATAAACGGGGTGCGAACAGAGCTCTGGACACAAATGATATGGAATGTTTCAATTCTCGGCTCCCAAATACAATAGCTTCACCTGACAGACCTCATCTACCTGACTTCAAAAGTTTCGATCATCCATTCCATGCATTAAATTCGTCAATCACTTGATGGTCTGATATTTCTTCATGGTTTTATTGAACCACATTTGTGGACGAATGTTTGCGGAGACGAAGATAGCGGAGACAAAGGTTTGCGGACGAAAATATGCGCAGACAAAGATTTGCGGACGAAGATTTGCGTGGACGAAGAAATGCGTGGACGAAAAATGCGGACGAAGATTTGCGGACGAAGATTTGCGGACGAAGTTTTGCGGACGAAGATTTGCCGGGACGAAGATTTGCGTGGACGAAGAAATGCGGACGAAGATTTGCGTAGACGAAGAAATGCGTGGACGAAAAAATGTGGACGAAGATTTGCGGACGAAGATTTGCGGGGACGAAGATTTGCGGACGAAGATATGCGCAGACGAAGATTTGCGTGGACGAAGAAATGCGGACGAAGATTTGCGTAGACGAAGAAATGCGTGGACGAAAAAATGCTTGACGAAGAAATGCGCGTACGAAGAAATGCGGATACGAAAAAATGCGCTACGAATATTTGCGCTTACGAAGAAATGCGAGACGAAGTTATGCGACACGAATAAATGCGCCGACGAAGATTTGCGGACGAAGAAATGCGGACGAAGAATTGCGCGACGAAGAAATGCCATACGAAGATTTGTCCTGGAATCACCCTCACCAATTTTTCAACAGGTATAGAAGTAGATGAAAAAAGTATTTCTCGTATAGTATGTTCTCTCAGCCAGGCCTCTTCGGAAATGCGGACCAAGATGTAGACAAAAGTAACAAAATTACAACCAAGCACACACCCCACACACCACACTACAATCTGAAATGAAAGTAAACAAAACGCGGGAATTTAACAAATGTAGCATAACACTGCGCAGCTGTTACAAATGTAGCAGTATGGATTTTGGATAAATATGACACAGCATATTACTTTTAGGAAATAAATGCAACAAATTTACATTATTTACAGTTTTGTGATATTATCGTAATAAATTGATTAGTTTTTTGTAACTAATAATTAATGTAAATCACAAAATTTAGACATTTTATGAAGATTTATTTTATATGACGCAATTCATTAAATATTATTATCGTTTTCCTTTTTTAGAATAGATCCCCGCGTGATCCCCGCATACCACCTAGCTCATCGCTTTGGCTCACATTTAGCTCACGGGTCTTTGTGTGTTTTGGGTTGGGCTTTGGGATATTATGCTGTCTATTTTTTGCGTTTTTGTTACTTATTTTGCCATTGCGGTTCTATTGATTGGTTTTGACTGCCGGAACCTGGACAGCTGCTGTTTTGCTGTTGCGGTTTATATAGCCTTGGCCTGAGCCCTGAACCCTGAAAAAGCTGTTTCTTGTTTCTAAAGATGCTTTTTACTTGGTTTTGAGGTACCTACACCTTTCTAACTCAAATATCCAAATATTCAAGCTCAAATATTTACATACACTGTGCAAATGTCTACTTTGACTCACATCAGCTAATTGTCATCAAAATGTGTACTACTAACTACACTTTTCTAATTGAATGTGAATTACTTATTTATGTGCTTTTCTCTTTTCCAGCTCAGCTCAATGGTACTTTAGTCAACGTCTTAAAGTCAAAGTTATTGAATCAAATTTAACTGTGGGCCTTGCTAAAGGTCATTAAAAATTGAGTGTTGAGATTCTGAGGCTTAGTGAAGAGTGTTGCTGTTGTACCTAGCTAGTACACGCACTCGTCCATGCTCATAGTCCATATATCTTGATCAATTCATACTACGATTGTTCAAAGAAATGGTGAGTAGGTACTTTTCTGTTTTAAGCGAAGAAGTTTACCTGTCAGTTGTTACTTGTGTATTCACTATTCCCAGGTGTTTGTGTGCTTGTTTCATGTTCCAAACTTTTTTTTAGCAACATAGCAAGTATCATAGCTTTTCAAATCCTGAGACTGTGATTTATAACCAAGAACATTAAATCTCATAACCATGTAGGCCTCAGATCTCAGCCCTTAGGGCTCAGGTGGACCAGAAAAGGCAATTTTCACATGACACTTATTTACTTGAGAAATAATGTTTCAGGCTCAGAATGTGCAAATCTGTGAAATATCAAATGAAGCCAAAGAGAGCATCAGGAAATTCCGGTTTAGAAAGGAAACCACCAATGCCGCATTGATTTGTAAGTAAAACATCTGACTTCATATCTTTTTGTGCATGCTTGCTTTTTATAGCCACCAAACTGCCTTACTCACACCAGCTAGCCATCTTTATCATTCAGTAATGTCGGCCAGGTAGTTCTATAGATACAACTGTATAACTGTATCCTGTCAGCCAAACTGGTCAAGTGTTATAACACTGTGGACTGCAACCACAGTATGTGTGAACTGTGAACATCTTCATGGCAACCCACACATCATATTCATTCTGTACCATTCCACAGTGAAGGTGGACAGCAAGAGCCACACAGTGTTTGTATCCACATTCCACCCCACTCCACACTGTGAAGGTGGACAGCGAGAGCCACACTGTGTTTGTATCCACATTCCACTTCATTTCACAGTGAAGGTGGACAGCGAGAGCCACACCGTGTTTGTGGACGAGGAGCTGGACGACCTCGCCGGGCTGGAAGAGCTGCGGGCTGAGCTGCCCGAGCACCAGCCGCGCTTCGTCATCTACTCGTGTCGCCTGGAGCATACGGACGGACGAGTCAGCTATCCCATGATCTTCATATTCTCAACGCCAAAAGGTGTGTAGGGGTGAGCGGTGAGCGGGCGGAGAGCGCGATTAAGGTAGGGTAGGGGGGGGGGGGGCTCCAGAGAAATCAGTTGTGGGGATGCAATACGGGGCAGGTTGGCGACCACAGTTACCAGGCCATGAGTGGATTAGAAAGGCGAATGGGTAAGGAGAATGCGTCAGCGGTGAATCATGTAGCAACTGAGTCACGGACATTCGTAGCTGGGTGTGACCAAAGAGCATTATGACTAACCAATGTGCCTGCTCATTCAAAGCATTTATACGTGAGCACGTCCCAGGTACCATGCATGTTTTCGTAAATCGATGAAGAAATGTTCATTGCCATACGCAATACGCAACCGCAATATGCATTTCTCGTCATGCGTCGTCATTTTACGTCATTTTAACGACATCTGTGTGTGTTCGCAGACGCCAAGCCGCAGCTCCAGATGATGTACGCGGGCAGTAAGCTCTCGCTGGTCAAGGAGGCCGACCTGACCAAAGTCTACGAAGTTCGTGAACTGGAGGAGCTCACAGACGACTGGATCGTGGAGAAGCTCCAAAAATGAGCTGTCACCGCCGCCGCCGCTGCTGCCACCTACCGGTCGGTCGGCGACAACTGAGGGCGGGGTGGAGTGCGGGCATTCGTCGCTGGCGCCGGGGTGGCCGGAAGGAGATTAAACAGATCAAAAGCAGGAAAATTCGGTGCCATCACCTGTGCGGGTTGGTGGGCAGGAATTTCCGTAATGTAATGTAAACACGCTATCCCTGGTTGGTAACGTCCTGTGCGATTCATGGGTCATTTACCACATTAGATCACAATATTTTATTTTGTCGCAATTTGTTTGTGACATAGATTCATGTAGTGCCTTTTCAAGCTCTCTCCCTATAAATGCACAATGCATATGTTTATGGGGAAATTTTTATTCGCTCTAGGTTTTTGTTTTGTTTTATGGTACGTATTACGTAACATTTAAAGAAAAATTGTAGTTAGTTAACACGAATCACATTTAAATTCCTTCACAAATTGCGCTGAATTATTTGCGATAGTAGCCTTACATATTCCATTTGGTAGGGTCACGGACGAATGTCATTCACGCTGATCTGACTAGGCAGGAAAAAGTATACGTCTTTTTATGACCAATTTTATTCCCTATTCAAAGCTGTGCTCGTCTACTTAGCCCGACATCCCTTGTAAGACGCTATCCAAGATAGCGGTACATACCTGTAAAAGACTGATCTAACAAGTTGGAGCGTTACATACTAACGTATCGTTACTGATAACCATTTTTCTCGCAAACTCTCCGTCGAGGACCAGGCGTGACACTTTCCAACCATTTGACCATATCTTCCGACACTTTACACAAGTTTGTCTGTGGTTTTCTGGAGTTAATGCATTATGACCTAAATCATATGTTCATTGTCAGATCGCATGTAGGTATGTAAATTCCCACATGTTTCCTGCACTGTGAGTCCGTTCTTTCTTTCCGTTTGCGCTGTGTTGGAGCTCTGTGGCTTTGTCGTAGCTCTATCCTTCCTGGATATGAACCAAATAAGACCGTATGACACTCATATAATCGGAAAGACATTAGACATTCCTTGTTTTATCGTTCTGACTAACAACTTTGCATCTTATGTTTTGTTCAAATACTGATCAAATGATTTTGATTGTGTTGAGCTACATTACGTGGGCTCCTTTTTATGCTGCAGTGTCCGCACCGGTCCTGCCTCATCAGCCTTCTTGCCATACATAGATTAGCTTTACTTTGTTGCCTTACGTTTCCGATTTTTTATCAACATCTTGCAACCAATTAATAGACACACTGTTGCTCAATTTTATCCAAACCTATTGATATCTTGTGAATAGTAAGCGAATGGCTTTTTCTTTATATGTCTTTGGGTGGATCTTATTGTTTCCTTATGTCTCTACTCTTGGTAACTGTGGCTATGTTACCATTATCAATCGGCAAGTCAATGTCCCCCGATTCGTACGAAAGCACATTTTAGCTACAGGTAATGCCAGGAATGCACCACGATCTATTTTGATATACGTTGTGCCAAGAAAGCTTCCATTCATCGTGCATTTATCGAATAATGTATCTTACAAATTGTGGGTTGTGGAACGTTGAAGGATGTAAAAAAAGTACTTGTCTCACAAACATCATTTATGCCTTGGTCATGCTTTTTTCACAAATGCTGCGTGGGTGTTTGGTCGTACACGGATGTTTTAATCGCTATGCATATGATTGTGTCGCATTGGGTTTGAATTTGTTGAAATTTTGTATATTCTGGTGGCAATTGCACCAGAAAAGGTCTCCCCCGCGAGTATTCTGTGGACTTTTCTATGAACTCTTGGGCAAAATGTTAACATCTGCTTAAATATTGATAGTAAAAAGTATATACAACATGCCATGTGATTCAAACGCGCTGCCGGCACCGTTGGTTTTCGCACGCAAACACAATGCTCTACTACTCGCGCGGTACGAATGCACCTAAGCAGTGGCACCGTATCCGTCTGTACCCTTTGTATCGGTCTCTATCTGTACCGAGGTCCAGCGTCTGTGCTTCACCGGGCGGGCTGGAGGGTCGTACATTCGGGGGCAGATTGATGTTCCACCACTCCCTACCTATCGGGCTCCCATGGCTCAGCACTGGCTGCTGCCAGTGGCAGCACTGGCAGCACTGGCACTGGCAGGCAGCATGGGTGGAGCCTTTCCGAGGAAGTTGGTGGGGCAAAAAGTCGTCAAACTTTCAATGTCAGATTCAACTTGAATAAAATGTCTAACTAAAACTATTCCTATCATTCCGGAGATAATCTTTGAATTAAACAGACATTCAAAAGTTCGTCAATGCGATAAAATGATTGATTTGTAAAGCAACAAAGTCCTACAAATGGGCTGAAGTTGGTTGGGCAAAGTGCTTATTGGTGGGGCAAAATGGCAAGTTTGTGGGGCAGCTGCCCCACCAACTGTATAGGAAGCTCCACCCCTGCCAGGCAGTGCTAAGCAGTACTGAGGGCAGGCAACACTGGCTGCTGCCAGTGCTGAGCCATGGGAGCCCGATGGGTAGGGAGTGGTGGAACATCAATCTGCCCCCGAGTGTACCACTCGGTCTGTCCTTGTAACCGGCATGTCAGACTCCGTGTGTGCGCGTGCCGGCCGCCTGTGCCTTCTGTTTAGCCTCGCGTATGCTGGCGTGTTTGTGTGCGTGTTTGTCTACGCACGCGGGGGTGGGGGGCGTGTGCCGTGAGGGGTTTGAATTGTAGCGAGGCGCGCGTGATCTGTATTATGCAAGGTCATGTTTTTGCTATTCAGTAGCTGAGTGCCAGGCGGCGCTGCCGCGTTAGAGACCCGCAGTCTGTTTGGATTAGTTAGTTCGGTTAATTAATATATGCGTTGCGTAGGAGTAGACTAAACACAGGTTCCGAGGCTCGTGGTCGTGGTGAGTTGCCGGTTTTTGTCCACGATACCCGCAAGGTTAACATGTGTACCAATACCATGACCTGTGGACCAAAGATTTGTGATTCATTTTAGTCAACGCTGAATTGGATATTTCATATATACTCGTGCTTTTTGGTCATGTTGTTTTTGTGCACAAATACATACGATCAAATGCAGCGAATTGACGACTTTTGTGTGACTGGTCTGTAACTGTGCGACATTACCGAATACTGGTTAAGTTCCGCTACATACGAGTATTGTATGAGAATTGGCGTCATATGCTTCAGTCTAGTCGTACGTGAGACCGTTGAGCAGCTCAGACCTGACACTTGAATAAGAAAATCTGCGGATTTCCCCAATAACTATTAAACACCGGAATTAACCAGCGAATGGTTTGATATGTATCCTTCGAGCCTGACTTTCCGTGCCGTGGAGTGAGTTAGTCATATTTAATCGCGGCGTTGCACGTAGTCATCGATGCACCTTGCAGAGGACATAATGTATGGTCTTATGCAGGCGGCGCGAAGGTGAATTTAGCAGAAATTACGTCACCCTACCTTGACACCATTGAAAGCAGCCGCAATGTATGCCGTATGCGACGCATGTAATGTATGTATGCGGGCAACCTCAGTTCCCTGATGTGTTGACCGTGCATTTGTGTTACAATCGGCATGGAGAAGGCGTCTGCATTATTTACACTGCATACAACTCAGCGAGGAAGGTCATGAGTCACTGTGTGCTGCTGTATTCCGACTCGGCAAACCGTGGGTTGGTGGTCAATATTGATGTCAACTGGTAACCCGAATGTCGTGTCCTTTGCGAATCGCCTAATCGCTCAGGTATAGGAGATGGCACCGCCGCTCTGCCGCTGTTCGAATTATGCTGCATTTCCCCTTCCTTGCCTCGTTCTGTCTGCCTATCGGGTGTCGATCGCATTGGTCTGGCTCCTGCGACTACCAACTTGTCCAACCGGCCAACCGACTACTGCATATCGTCCGGCATCTTGTCTATGTCGTCCTGACCGACGGTCCATGTCGTCCAACTGTCCAAGTCAAACAGTCCGACAGTTCACCTGTTCGATCGTCGGACGGACTGACAGTTCATCCATCCGACAGCCTGACAGTTAATTTTTTTTTGACGATCCGGCAGAAATGCGTTCTATCCATCCGACCGTCCGGCCGGAATACGTTCTATCCATTTGACCGTCCGGTAGAAATACGTTCTATCCATCTGACTATCCGACAGAAATACGTTTTATCCATCCGCCGTTCCGGCAGTCCGACGTTCTATCCAATCGACTTTGGTTCCGTGTGGACTCTGGAGTTCCGGCACCGTGGTCACCCGGCTGGGTCACGGCCGCTGTTACAAGTCGCCTGCAATGAGCGTGGTCGTTCCAGTGACGTCATTTATACCCTAATGCCAGCCTCACCTGAAACCTCACCTGAGAGGGTCGTGCACTCTGTGACGTCACTACTGTCACCATGACGTCATCACGGAGTATACGGGACTGGGAATACCGACTAACCCGGCTACCCCAGGCCCAGAGAGCGAGAGAACATTCTACTCTAGGTGTTGAAGGAGAGTCGATTGGTCTGGGAGTTTTGTCCGGCCACGCGCCTCGGTGAATCTAACAGCGTGACGCGTCCGCGACCCGTTACTGTGCTGTGGAGCGTGACTGTCCTCCTCTCACCTTAGTCACGTGATGACACCCACGGGCTGACGCTGTTAGGCGTGCTAACGTGCTGACTGCTGATGTGTGCTGACGTGCTGGCGTGCTGATGTGTGGGCACTGGGCAAGCTGACAGACTTGTGTGCTGACGTGAAGTACTGACCTGCCGCTGATGTCGTCTGACGTGCTGATGTGTGGGCGTACTGATGTGTGCTGACATGCTGACGTAAAGGGTTGACGTGCTGACGTGGGCTGACGTGCTGATGTGTGGGCATGCTGGCATTGGCATACTGGAATACTGACATGTGAACGTACTGACATTAAATATAACTGACGTGCTGATGTATGGGCGTGCTGACGTGGAGTGATGACATGCTGATGTGTGGTGTACTGACGTGCTCATGTGTGCCGACGTGTGGGCGTGGTGTTTGGATGCCGTGTCTGTATGGTGTTCAGGAACGCGGCCCCAGCCTCTATGGTCATGGCGCGCCCAGATTATCCCCTAGCTCGAACGGGGCTCACGACTCAGCGCAGCGTGTGACCAGGGCTCTCTGGGTCAGTCGCGTGCGTGAAAGCTCGCCAGATTTTCGCGTCTCTGGGCGTGACACTTTCTTTTGCAGCCTGGGCTTTGTCTGGCCGGAGGAGCCTTCGTGATCAGCTGTGAAAAGAATGATATTGAATAATGGCCATGTCTGAGGGATTATGTACCTAATTCGGGATTTTCTGTGTGTTCTGAGGATTTGCCAGTTTCCTCGCTGCTCATTTGGGTAGCCACTAGCCGCACAAATATTTCCACGCATCCAACGTTTGGGAAGAATGTTAAACGTAGTACGTTCCTATACACCACGGAAGGTAAGCCCACGCCAAGGCTCTGGTGAGTGCAGAACACATCAAAGTGAAGTGAGACTTTTTATGCCGCTCCAACTTGGCTCCCGTGCTGCGAAGCGGCAAGTATCATTTTGACAGGTCTCAAAAATGATGACGGAAGTATTTCGTATCTTTTTGAGTTGAGCAAAATGTGTGGTCGTAAGACTTGATCGACAGAAATAGACACAACACAGAACTACTTCACATTATGCCATAAATTAATCTCGTGAGGCACATATTTAGCCCTATGATGTTGATGAAAGAAAATTTAAATAGGAGCGAGAGTTGCATACAGATGGCGAATTCGCATACGACAGGTACTCAAGTATTCCTTTGTAATGTTTATTTCATGGGATGGTGGGAAATAGGTACGCTTAGGGGTCGATGTATTGGTTTGACCTACAAGCTGCAAACCAAAGCTCATAGTGCAGTTACTCTTGAAAGGTTCATGACCTAATGTTGAAGACGAAGACAGCACATGTCAGTTCAGAATGTCGTCTAACCTTTTCAACTGTCATTTCTTCTCGCCATTCCTGTCCATTCGTCCCGTTTGAACCCCGCAGGACCGGTCACCTGCACCAAATGTGGTAAGTTTGTCTGAACATCGGTTACCATTTGTGGTATATTCTACCGCACAGAACGTCGAGCTCGCCCAGCTGCCTCACCGCAGTCAACTACAGAGCTTATTTGCCAAGCTACGCGGAACCGCTTCCGTGGACGGAATTCCCAGCCGGTGTAGGAAGGACGAGTGGGAAGTGAGATACGGTGACCGGTGACCGACAGACCAGGGTCACCGCTGCCGCCGGCTGGTCGCTGCACGGCGCTGCAGGCTGGGTCTGACCGCTCAGAGAGATCGGTAGCTACATAAGCAGCGCGTCGGCCGACGGCGGCCAGTTGTATCCGCGGCCCCACGACGTCCGGCTGTGTCTGCCGCGCTCGGCCCGTCCGCGTTTCCCGTCCGCTTTCGCTCTCTATCCGGGTCTTGAAGGTCGCCGACCGCCTGTGCCACTCTCTCTGCGCAGCGCGCGGCTCGACTCGGTCAGTTTTCCGGCGACATGTCTCAAGTGCGCTTCTCTCTGCTGGCGGCAGCTCTGTGCGGGCTGGTGGCCGGCCAGCGCTCTGCTCACGTGGCACCCACTTTGGAGGAGCGTGCCGCGCTGCGCCGCGGTCCCTGTGAGGTCGGCTGGACGCTCTCTGAGGAGCGATGCTTCCGTCTGTCTCCAGTAGCCGCCGCCTGGGACGAAGCACGTCAGCTGTGCTCCCAGCAGCGGCCGTCAGCTCGGCTCGCCTACGCCGTCACTCCGTCCGACCAACTGCTCGTGCAGGCGCTCTGGAGGGAGGCGGTGCGTACGCAGCCGGCCGTGCGCCGTCAGGAGGCCGCCCTCTGGATCGACCCGGCCGCCGGCCTGGAGCGCACCAGTGCCGCCCTGAGGGACGGCTACGGCGCTCTGGGGTCCAGCCAGGTGGCCGTTCCGGTGCCAGAGGCGGTCTCTGACGAGTCGGCGGTGATCGTGGACGCCGGAGGCGAGTCGGCGGTCCCGCCGGAGCCGCTGTGTCCCTCGCTGACGGCCGATGTGACGGCCGCTCGCGAGACGGGACACACCTGCGACCAGAAGCTGCTCTACGTCTGCGAACTGGATACCGTCGACCTGAACATGATGGATGTGTGAGCGACTGAACCTGCGGAAGATGTGAGACGACGCGGGAACCCTGATAGCGGAAGGCAAGGGCATCCATAACTTATTCCAGGGAAGAGATGAATCCTTGTTGAGCCACCGCGGGAACAACAGTGCGCTTGTGGGCACGGTTGGAGATTGAGGTCTCGTTGGAAGCGTGTTTTACTATGTGTAAAGGTGTTTCCACTATTGTAATTGTATTGCGATGAGGTAGTTGGTTGCTTGAGTGATGGTCGCACATTGATGAAGAGCTTTATTTAACTGGGCGAGTCTCGTTGATTGTGAAGCATTCGATGACTGGTTATGCTTGATATTGTTGCCTTACAAAACAATAAATAATGTGTCTCTTGGATGTGTTTTATGACGATTAGTTGCCTTACATGTGTGACGTTTGTGCTTGCTCACATATCGTTACGAGCGAGCGAAGTCTTGCGTACAACCGCGGATCCACTGCCATTTTCAAAGGGAGGGACCAAAACCAGCTACTTTTGGACCTTCCATAATGTTTTCAAGGATGTAGCGATTACTCCCCCCTCCCCCCCCCCTCAAAGAAACGCCCCGGTGTTAGTTGAATCCGTGCCAAGCCAATGCAGTGGTTCGACGTTAATACATCGAGGCTCGCGACGGCGAGGCGTTGTCGCCTGGATGTCTGGAGTGAAGTATGAGACAAATCAATAATAACTACAGACAACCGTCGTCTCAACCATCTGACTCTTCCTTCTTGCAAAAACTTTCACCTTCCATACATTCCAGAGTCAAGGAAGAAGTGATGCAAAAAGGAACCGGAACTAGCTATGCAATCTCATTCGCTCATTAGGATGACAAGATCCGTAGGATATCCGGTTTCTAATTATTCGACCGGACGATTGAAGATCATGCTCGCAGTAACAACCAATGTCTTTTGGAAACATAAAATATCATAGGTATGTATCTGAAGCTAACATTGCGTGACCTCGTGTCTCGTGATCT